AGGGGGGGGGGGGGGGGGGGGGATACAAATTGAGCTCTCATATATACATTCCTGCACAAAGAAAAAGAAAAAAAAATGAAATTTTTGTGGGTACTAAGCATGCTCTTGTGCCAGGTTCTGTAATTGTTTATCTCAGCTACTCACAGGTAAGCCCAACTGCTGTCTCTTGTAGAGCTGTGGTGAGGCAGAGCCTGGAGCTAGCAGTCACTCGTACCAGCTTCTTCCCGGGAAGGGCTTTGATGATTTTTAAAAATGGTGCTCAGCTTCCGCACCTTGGGAAGAGCTAGAGTTCAAGCAGAGCCGCTGTGACACCAGCTGCTTCACAAGGAGAGTTCTGGCCACTTGTTCCTGAGTCCCGACTCAGTCAGTCACTCACATGCCCAGTTACTCACAGACACTCACACAAAATTGTCCATACACTCACTCACACTGGGACTCGCATAGTTCATCTGGCTCCACTACCATCTTCCCCTGCTCCTGCTCTTCTATACTTTATAGTATTTAGCATATTGATGGACAGAATAAATGCTCAGCAAATAGTGATTTTTGTGTTCAATGTACAGAAGTATACTGTTTAGCAGAAATGTCATTATAAATTCAAGAAAATTTCTTCAAACAACTGTACTTTCCCTGTATAACCAAAAGCTGGAAAATGATGTTACCTAGGTATTTCAGAAGTAATGGAATGTCTAAGTTCCCAACATTGACACAAAAGCTATCTTAAATAAACTTAATTATAGACATATTTTATCAATAAAAAGAGATCATTCTTCACTTTGAGAAAGTTCAAAAATTTTATCAGTAGCATTTTTACCACAGAATCATTATGTTGTTTTATTGAAAATTAAACTTCATAAAAAATGTTCACTATAGAAAGTTTATTATGTTGTGCATGTGTTTCATGACACTTATTTCAGTATTAGAATGATTGTTTTCTTCATTTCTACTGATAAATAAAGAACTATGAATTCAGTTGTAATAATAGATTGATTACATATAATTGATCATGTAAATAACTTTTGGCAATTTTTTCGGTATAAATTAAAGACACCTTCTGTCTATGATCCTTGTTCTACAAAGTAAAATAAAAAATTAAATATGCCTTCATTTTACTTTCAAAAAAGTGGAGAAAAAACTCTCAACGTAATCCTCTTTAAACTTAAGAAGTTCTGTTTGAACTCCTGAACCTTTAAAAAAAAGAGACTATTTTGAATTACAGAGAAAACATGGTTTTTTTTTAGTTTCAATACAGTAAAACATTAAGGCAAAAGAATACATAATTAATTATACTTATAAATGATTGCATCGCTCTCATCTGATATAGACAAATCACAATTCCAGATAAGTCAAAATAATAACTTTAAAAAAAAATCTTAAGACTAAATTCTCAGAAGTACAGACCTCTTCAGGAAAAAAAAAATAAAATAAAATGCAGCCTAGTAGTAAAAATTAGTTTTTTAATCAGAATGCCTAGGTTGATTCCAGGATCCATCAGTTAAGTAAACTCTAGCAAGTTACTTAATCTCTCTAAACTTCATTGTTCCCACTTATAAAAGGGATTTCACAATGCTATTTATCCTCATAAAATATTGAGCAGTTAGTGACAGAAAGTATCCAAAGCATCTTGAATTTATAATTGGCATATAGTAAGCATTATGTAATAATTGTTTTAAATTACTATTATCATTAGTCGTGTCTTCTTATTCTCAGTCTACTTTGTGATCATAGCCTTGGACAGGCAACCAAGCCATTTAAATAACAGAATATAAAGCAGATTTTCCCTACCCAGGACTTTCTTGGTGCCCTGAATTTCCACAGAATTTATCCCAACAAAGGAAAATAAATTAAACTCAGATCCATTGACCACAGCCTTCTTCATTAGGAGGTATGAATGGCTAGCTGAAAGTTATAATGTGTGGCTATTTCGGATGCTCTACAAATATATGTTCTAGAAGCATGGTGCTGAACAAAGCTAACCAGGACACATAGGGTCCATTTAATACTGCTATCTTAACCAGTTGTCTCCAAAATCAGTGGAGAAAAAACATTCTGAACATGCACCTTAAACCAATATATAGCTTTTGTAAACAACCTACTATAGTAATAAATTACATTATAAAACATTTTGAAGAAAGGACTAACCAAAGGTGTGAAACCTTTCTTCAAATACTGTTTCCTTGGAAATATTTCAGATTAAGACAAATGGGGAGTACCAGCAGTGTTACCAGGCAACATTATTGGTGAAATGCATCTAGACCAGGAGGACTGTGAACGACCTACAAAATCACTAGGGACTCACAGACCTCAGCCTCCTTGTGTGCAGTGTATTCTTGTAACTGAGGGCATCCCTTGAGGGGACCTGTGCTTTTACCAAGACACCAGTTCCTGTGGAGCAGCAGCCATACCTAGGGCAAAGTAGTCCATGCCTACCATCTAGTCTCCTCAACTTAAAAAATTAGCAACTATAGAGACTCCCACCAAAAAGTACCTGACATTATCCTGCTGATATTCTATGTTTCCTGCCCAGTATCCTGCTAAACCAAGTGAACCTGTTGCCTGATAATGGGTTATTGCGCCATGTAATGTGAATGTCAAGACAAAACCACCAAGTCCACTTCTAGCAGTCATACAGACATATGCCTATGCAAAAACATATTATTTTCTTCAACTATCTTTATGGATTTTTCAAACACTATACATTTCAGTATTGTACTTAAGTACACATATTTTTCTGAAAATGTTGAGTATATTCTTTGTAACAAACTTAAGATTCTTTCTCTTTGTGACTTTTTTTGGTGTTTTTTGACAGATTCTCCTCTGTGGTCATTTTAAATCTTTGGTTTTCTCTGTAACCATTAATTCCTCTAGGCCTTTTAAAACAAAACAAACCAATAACTTCATTGTTACAAATTCTGCAGTGGCAATAAAGTTTTAGGAAATACAAACACTAAAATATCTTCTTGAAGTTTTTCATTGTTACTAATTTTCCTATAGAAGATTTTAAGGATATCTCTACAGGAGGCCTTAAAAACTACAACATTGTGGGACAAGTTACTCTAGCTTTCAGTTTTAATATAATTTTATACTGGTTTTATTAAAATATGCTATGCTAAAAATAGAACTATTTCTTCTACTCTTGACACTACCCTGAATTCCAAGTCACCAAATACTTTTACCATTTCCCATGGAAATCCCTTTAAAGTTGTCTTTCATTACCCCATCTTTAAGCACAAATGCTTTTAAAATATATATTTTCAAACTCACCCTGAAACATGCAACATCAGCAGCATATAGAAGACAAAGAAGAGGTTATGAGTATACCAGAAGATATCATAGTTAGAAACTCTGAAAAAACAAATAAATTTGTTTCAATGCTAGTTTGCATTCCATTTCACTAAAAAAATTATGCATTGTTTCAAACATATATCACAATTTAAGAAATCTAAAATATAAGTTTGTTTGAGATTAATACAAAAATATTAATATACCATATAGAGAGAATCTAAGAAAAATGTAAAACTTTATCATGCTGAAGGTTCTTTGTATTTTAAATAAAGACATATTGAAACAAGTAAGGTGTTTATTTTTAAGTTATAGTAATAAAAGTTTAAATAAAGAGTGGGTAGTAGTCTGCTAATACATACTTTTGCTGTCCTTTTATCAATATTCTCAATATTCAGATAATTTCTAAAACAATCAAGGTTCCTCTTCCAATACTTATTTTGAGAGTAGTTTAAAGGAAACTCAAAAAGAGAGCAACTAAAATAAATGATGATCACATTTTCATATTCTTTTCCTGGACACTTAACACTATTTTGGTGTTACTGCTCTGGAGAAGGAGGAATGTCTAAATAGGTAGGAAATGGTGAGCACTATTTATAGGGCATTTGAGAGAAGTAAAAACATTAACAGTTATTTTATTTCATACGTCTAGAGTGAAATTTTGTATATTAGAATCTTGGCAGTAGAGGACTAGTATTTATAAAAGCTTCCCAGATGATTCTGATATCTCCCCAACCCCTTCTAGAACCCCTCATTCAAGCAGCAGCCAATTGTCTTACATTTACTCCATTCATAGTTTTTGCTATCATAAACAATATCATTCCCATCCTTGTAACATATGCACATTTGACACACATCTGATTCTTTTTAAATCAAAACTACTAGAAGTGGAATTGCTAGAACACAGGATACACATTTGCAATGCTTTTAATATGTACTTCCCATTGCTCTCTAAAAACATGTTTATTCATTACAAATCCAGCCATAGAGTACGGGTGACTGTTTCCTCAAACTCAGACCCTACTTTACAAATGTTCATTATTTTTTATATGTGGAATTAGGTAATAGTATGTGTTACTCATTTTTAATTCTGTGAATTCTCTGTACATGATATTTACCCATTTCTATAGGGTATTTTTCTTAATTAATAAGTGTAAACTATGCACATTTCAAGAGTGCACTGGTTTCTTGGAATTGTAATAGTTTGCTCAATATCACATTTACTTTTCAATTTGTATGCGTATCAACATGCAGAAGCTTTAGTTTTCATAATTTTAGGCAGTTAAATATTTCCTATATGACTACTTCTCCATCTTGAGGTTCAATAAATATCCACTTAAAGTATTTTCTAAATTTTTGATGACATCATTTTGAATATAACTCTGTAATTTACCTAATTCTTCGTGTACTTAAACCCAACTTTTCTCATAAGCTTATAATGTCACCTGTATGATTTAGCAAGTTCTTATATATTGCAAGGTCATTTACAGGGTCTTTTTTTTTTTTTTTTTTGAGTTGGAGTCTCACTCTGTCTCCCAGACTGAAGTGCAGTGGCTGCTCCTGGCACCCACAGCCTTGACCTGCTGGGCTCCAGCGATCCTTCCGTCTCAGTCTTCCAAGTAGCTGGAATTACAGACATGCGCTACCACGCCCGGCTGATTTTTTTATTTATTTTTAGAGATGAGGTCTTGCTGCCCAGGCGGGTCTCGAACTCACGGGCTCAGGCAATCCACTCACCTCAGCCTCCCAAAGGAGCAGGATTACAGGCTGAGCCACCGAGCCCGGCTTACAGGGCTTTTTAATGTTCTTTGTTCTTGGTCATTTTTGTAAGCAAGTCCTACTCTCTTTTAATCATTTTAATGTTTAGTAAGGCACATCCCCTCCTTTTACTCATCCTTTACAATGCATATTTGGATGTCCCTCCGATGAACTTTGGAATCACTTTGCTAAATTAAAAAAAGATAATAATAATAATAATAACCTGTCTTGAATTTTTACTGGAATTGCAGCATCCCTAAAAAAATAATTGATAGGAACTTCATCTTTATAGTATATAGTCTTTATTTAAATCTCTACATATTTCTCTCAGTGAGCTTAAGTGTTTTATTCCTAGACATTTTATGTTTTTGTTGCAATTGTGAGTAGTATGTTTTTACTTTATTCCATTAAAGGGTTATTTTTATATTCATTTTATATTAAATGGCCTTTTTCCATCATTTTTACTTGGTGTTAATACTAAATTTGTCCATAATTCTCTTAAATTTTCTGGGCAGGCAATTATATCTACTTTTCTAGAAATAATGGTAGTTTGTTGTTGCATCTTTTGAATAATTCCAAATGTTTCAATTATTACCATATGTAAATAATGGTGGAATTAAAAACACCTTAACTTTTTCCAGATTTAAAAAATATATATATATATCTAGTGCTTCACTGTTAAGTATGACTTCAATTCTGGTTTTTATAGTTTTTAATTCTACAAAGGAAATCGTGTAATGTTTAGTTTAATTACTATGATTATTTTAATCTACATTAGAGTTCATATTTAATAATTGCTATTTTAAAAATCAATTGAGATGAGAAAATATTTGCATTCCTGTTCTGTTAATAAGATGTATTATTTTAATTGATTGACATTCCTCTATCAGAAATCAAACATTGGAAAGCTGTCCATTCACTTAACTTATCTAATGCTTTATTTTCTCACTGGTAAAGAGAAAAGGTAAAAGAAAAGAAGTATCTGTCTCCATGATCCATTTCAGAATTCCATGATTCTCACACTAATGATTGGAGAATAGCAAATTAGGTATTATAATCTCCTTTAAACACATTTTTTAAAACATGAAGATTAAGATATGCTTAACAGGCCCAGCTTGGTGGCTCAGTCTGTAATCACAGCATTTTGGAAGGCCAAAGCGACTGGATTGCCTGAGCCCACAGTTTTGAGACCATCCCAGGCAATTTGGCAAGACCTCATCTCTACAATAAAAATCAAAAATTAGCCAGGCATGGTAACGTGTGCCTGTAGTTCCAGCTACTTGGAAGACTAAGGCAGAAAGATTGCCAGAACCATAGCAGGTCAATGCTAGGGTGGCCATGAATGTGCCACTGCACTCCAGCCTGGGCGGCAGAGTGAGACTCCAACACAAAAAAAAAAAAAAAAAAAGAGCGAGTCTAAGATGAAATCCCCAACCTAGGGGAGCCCCAGACCAGTAGTAGACAAGCCGACGTACTCAGTGCTATAGCCCCGACTGCAGCCCCACTACTCATATTCCCACAGCCCTGACCCCTCCTGTAGCCACTGCGACCCCTGGTGGAATGAGAGGAGAGTTGCAGGCACTGTGAAATCCAGACAGAGACAACAGATGGGACTTCCGTGCACAGACTCGATCTGAAGACCCACTCTGGGGCCCCCACCCCCCTCCCTTCCCCATCCCAGCCCCTAGTCTGCGCAGGCGGGTCTGGTCTCGATTCTTGCTTTGGACTGCCTCTCACCGCAGACTTCTGTGGCTGTGTTGGCTTTCGGCTCCCTCTCTCCCCCTAGGCAAACATCTGTGCTCAGTGGCGAGAGCTGTCTGAGGTGTCCGTCTGTCTGTCTGCCTGCCTGTCTGGGAAATTCCCGCGATGAGTTTTTTTCTGGGAATTCCTGAGGGGCAGGGTTAACCCTATGAGCGCCCTGGGAGAAGCCCTGCCTCTGGATGGAAAGGCTGCTCACCAGTGGGGGCATGGACCACCTGGAGGTAGCATCTGCAGTCTGGAACAGGCACAGCTACTTGATTGTTGAGCCAGTGAAACTATTGCCTTGCCAGGTGCCTTGCGGTTTGGGGTGGGGAAAGCCAGAGCCACAGGGCCCTGGGGCACATCTAACCTGGCTCAGCCCCAGAGGGCATCTCTGGGCAATGGGGTGAGGCAGCAGGGGGAGGGGCAGAACCTGAGCCGGAAGCAGCCACTGCTCCACTCCCTCAAGGCCATTTTGAAAAATAAAGTGTATGCTTCCCACTGTAGTAGTAATGTGTGTACACTGTCAAAAGTTGGAAACCAGAGATCCGGAGGACAAAGGGAAGGAGTGTCAGCAGCTACTGCTCATATGTGCCTTGGTCTCTGGCAGTCCTTTGCCTGTGAGACTTTGCTTGCTTTTAGACAGTGTGAGAGGTGTGACACATTTCAGTTGCATACTTATTTTCTCCTTTTTACTTTATTTTATTTTTGAGTTGGAGTCTCACTCTGTTGCCTAGACTGGAGTGCAGTGGCTCACTCACGGCCACTGCAGCTTTGACCTGCTGAGCTCAGGCGATCCTTCTACCTCAGTCTTCCAAGTAGCTGGAATTACAGGCACCCACCACCAAGCCTGGCTAATTTTTTGATTTATTGTAGAAACAAAGTCTCACCAAGTTCCCCAGGCAATCCTCTCACCTCGGCCTCCCAAAGTGCTGGGATTATAGGCATGAGCCACGGCGTCAGGCCTCTCCTTTTTACTTTATGACAGGAGACATTTTTCATGTTATAAAGTCTTGGTAAACAACATTTTTTTTTTTGAGTTGCCTCACTCTGTCGCCCAGGCTGGAGGGCAGTTAGCAGACTCATACCCACCTGCTGGACCCCGGCGATCCTTCTGCCTCCGTCTTCCAAGTAGCCAGAACAACAGGTGCATGCTTCCACGCCCGACTAATTTTTGATTTATTGTAGAGAAGAGGTCTTCCCAAGTTGCCTGGGCTGGTCTTGAACCCACAGGTTCAGGCAATCCACTTGCCTTGGCCTCCTAAAGTGCTGGGATTACAGGCTGAGCCACTGAGCTCGGCGGGGTAGACAACATTTTTAATGGCCGCATAATGTTGCCTGAGTGTTTCAGAGTTTGCCAGTACAGTGAAGCAGAGTAGAAATAAACACATCCCCTTACACACTCAAGTGTCCCTCAGATGCAGAGCAGTTGAGTTGATGGGTTCTTAGAACTTAGACATAACCCTGCAACTGACATTCTTTCAACAAGTATTTACGGAGTACCTGCTCTGGCGTGGGACTGGGGACTTAGTGGAGGACAACAGGCAACAGCCTTCTCTCACAGA